AAAAAAAAAATCCTTTGGAAAAACAACCGCCGCAGGGTGCAAAGGTCAAAGGATTAATTGAGGACTTTTGAACTCTATGCATGTTTGGGCCAATCTGGTAGTGGCACAAATTCTGTACTTAGTGGTCCCTCCCTGTAAATAGTCCAAAGACTCCAAACAATGCCACTTCACCCACCCCTTTTCTAAGTTTCCTCCCCCACTTTTTTTTTAATTCATGCCGACTCATTAATTTGAATATTTTAAATTCATTTTATATACATTTTTATATTAAACATATATATTTTTATAAATTTTAAACAAAAATATTATATTTTTATATTATTTAAATTTAATATAAAAATTTATATAAAATTAATATAAATATTATAATTAATAGAAATTTATTTTTCTTGGTTGCCACTATGTATATGATTAGTAGGAGTTCCCAGCTATGTCTGGGGGTATAGAGTATATATTTTTAAGTGTTTAATGAAAAATTTTGTCTTTTTTCTTTTAAAAAAATTAGTTTTTATTAATCTCCACTTTAAGAAAAATTAAAATCTTAATTTATATTTAAAAATTAAAATTAAAAATTAAAATTTTAATTATCTTTTAAATTAAATATTAATATTTAATAAAATAAATTTTTAAATTTTATATTAAATTTTAATTAAATAAAATGACATAATTTACAATTTTAATTTTAATTTTTTTTAAGTTAAGATTAATATATATTTTTAATTAATAAAACTTAATTTATATTTTAAAAATATATATTAAAAAGTTTTTTTTAATAAAATTTTTGAGTTAACAATTTAAATAATTAAGTGATTATTTTTTTATTAAAAATAAAAAATTTTAAATTCAAATAGTATAACATGAATTAAAGAAAATAAAAAATAATTATTTTTTATTATATAATCAAGATAAAAAATAAAATAAAATATTTTAAAAAATACAATATTTTCATATAATAAAAACACACAGTACAGTCCACAGTACTAGTTTGGTTTGGTTGTCTGCTTTTACTAAATTTGAAGAACTCAGCGCTTCTTTCTTCGTGGAAAAG